CAAATTATTCAAAATTAGTCGGACGTTGTGGGTTTAACATTACAACTAGGATTCAAAAATGTTTTATTTTGAAATTCTAACAACACATTTTTGATTCCACTGTCTCATTTGTGCAGAGTGCAAATGGTCTCATATGGAGGATTTATCGGAATTACATGTTACATTACAATTTGTGTTCACCTTTAATATTGTTTAGATGCTCCTGGATTCAGTTGTGCTCTGTTAAGGCAGGTGAAGAAGAAGAAGAAAATAGAAAATAGAAATATGATCTGACGAGGCTTCTTCTGCACAGTAAGCCCCCTTCAGTCAGTGTCATCCCTGAATTTCATGTTTATTAAGGTCTAGCAACGAGCTCTGACTGCGCTGGGACTGCTGGTAGAACTACAACTGCTTTAATTTTGTTTATGTTCATCCCAGGCTGCAAGGCGATACTGCCCCCACCACGTTGGCCATTACCTGGGCATGGACGTCCATGACACCCCTGAGCTGTCCCGTTCACAACCTCTACAGCCAGGAATGGCCATCACTATTGAACCAGGTAAATACCTCTTGAGTTTTCCTCCACATGTGCAGCTGTGGCTGTGTTAAAGCACCGGTTTGTATCGGACGACCTGGGAATGAGAACGGGCTGTAAAATGTGTAGGAGAAACTACGGTGGCTATGGCTACGGTTTGTCCGTTCTGAGCCACTGTAGAAACCTCCTGAGCATTTTGGAGTTTTCTATTGTTTTAACATTATTTCTTTATTTAATGAGAACCAGTATTTTTTATTTGAAATAACAGGTGTACGTTTATCAATTCCTTATTCTTTTTTTTAAGGAAATCAGTTAGTGAGCCCTGAGCTGCATTGCTTAAAATGAGCAGGTAAATACTGATACTGAAATAAACACTAATCTGCTCAAACCAGGTCAGTCTTATCAGAGTAAAACCATACAGGTGAATCAGGCCAAGAGTAGGGCTGTGCATTATCCCAATATCTTCTTTAAGAAAGGTAAAATGTGTAATAAACAGCATTATAATGAAGTACTGTTGTACAGAGATTCCCTGGCCTACGAATCTTGTTCTCCAGATTTAAGAAAACATTGTTTGGTACAGACCCCAAAACATTTATATTTTCAAACAGTGCTGTAAATATAAATATTATTTTCAATTTCTGCCAATGGAGCCTCTTAAATGTTGCACACTGGACCTTTTTAATGAAAATCTGCTTGAAATCAGGTCTTAAAAATCCACACTGCAGCACAAACTCACAGTGCAGTTACTGTGGTGGATGGGAACCACCCCCCATTACACATTTTACATTATCTTTTTCGTGCCATTCCTGCTTTCATACAATTTTCCTTCTCTTGTCACAGGGTTGTACATCTGTGAGAACAATGACCAGGTGCCAGGGCGTTTCCGTGGCCTGGGCGTCAGGATTGAGGATGACGTGGTGATCCAAGACAAGGGAGGCCCTCTGATTCTGTCCTCTGGCGCACCAAAGACCATCGCTGATGTAGAGCAGGCCTGTGCCCAGAGATAGGGCAAGGAGAGACAGTGACCAAGTGAGCCACAGCGTCGATGGCAGGCAATGTGCTGCCATCACCACGGTGATGACATCGTCTAGCTCAGGGCCCAGGTACATGAAAGGTGGGAGCACACTGCAAGACTCCAGTTTAGCCTCAGCAAGGCCTCAAAAATGAAGAGTTCTGGTGTGGAAAATCATAGATTTTGCGAATGTTTTTCTCGTCTGGCTAAATGTTTAAAGAAACCAGCGCAGGCGATCTCAACAGTAACGTTAGCCGTTGTTAACAGGAGTGCACAAAGTCAACACGCAGTTGAACGGGATGTTGCACTCATTAAACTGGTCAATCTTTGAAATATTTTCTGCACAGGAGCATAAAAATCCAAACAAGCAAACTTTAAGTGTGATTCCAACCTTATGATTATAAAGAGCTCATCCACAGTTGTGTGTTAATGGGTTACGGTGTAGCTTTGGAGCCTACTGACATATTCCTCCGTACACAATTACACATCAAGGCTACAGCGGTTACAACAACACCACGTGTTAATAATGTACAATACATCCATCTAGTGTTGTGATGGTGCTGTTAGTGGATGAAAGCCAGCACTGATCTACAGATAAATACCTTTTTTGCCTTTTCTTTTACCTTTTTAAAAATGTTCCCGATCATGGCACACCAGGATAAAATTAGTTTTTTCTCTCAAACAACTTTTTGAAACATGCTCTTCTCTTGGCTCTCACACACAGAAATGCACCACTCTTTCCCAGCTCATGCTACAGTACAAATAATCCAAACACCAAATGTGGAACATGCACACTCTCTGTTGCTGTGGGATTGTCAGGAAGCATCAGAGCATGTCAAATCAACAGACCACCATGTTTATGCACACAATTGATGAATAAAGAGGAACCCGTCTTAAACAGCTGCTCCCGATAAACCTAGAATGATGGTAATGATTACACCAGTGTACTGAAATGGCTTAAAAGGTGTACACTGGAAAGAGTTTGTGTGTGGTGTTGTGTATCTGTGGGAATTACTGTCTTTTCAGCAGAGAGAAAAATGTGTTTATATGTATTAAAAGATCTCATTATTTCTTCTTTCATAACTAATAAATTATATTGGTTTGACTCGGGTTACTCATGGCGGTTGACGTGGAAAATGAGGATAATAATGGCTGCATTGAATTAGGCTGCAAAAACCTTGACTGTAACACAAAAGGACATAAATGTTTACCTCAGGTGGTCACAGAATAAATTTGGGTGTTGACAGGGTAGGAACATCCTCCTCAGTTACAGGGGAAGGGTCCATTGTCCCCTTCATTATTTTGGTTACTTCGGTTAATTGTGTTTTCACCAAATGACTAGCTTTGGTCTCTGTTGTCACACATGCGTGCCTCCGATAACAAACTACAGGCACTGCCATGTATCCTCTCTGACCGTTTTCTCTCTCAGGTGAAGCAATATGTTATTGAAGTTCAGTGTTTATGGTTCTCATTACTTGCTCTGTCTAACCTGCGTGCTTCTTAAGACAAATACATACTCAGTCCAAAGTAACGATGAGTCCACTCAGTTTAAGACCTGTTACATACATGTACTAGTACTAGTTTGAAAGCCAGTCGTGGTTCAGAGAATTGACTTTTCAGTGAAGGAGACTAGTAGTCAAACCAATGAAAGGAACAATATTTTGATGGCAGGAAGGTTCTCGACTAATTTATGTTCACTTTTGAGACACAAGTTAAATATTTTCAGTGAGTGTTAAATAAATAGGGTTGTGTAAACTAATGTGATGATCACTGTTGGAATTTAGTACTAATTTGAGGTATTAGTACTTCACTTTGCTATTTCCAATTCCCCTTTTACTTTTACTCCACTACATTTATTTTACAGTTACTAGTTACTTTGTTGATTCATATTTTACAGTAAAAAAATAAAAATACTTTGTTATAGATTAAACTAGCATACGCATATTGCATATTTTTACTTTTGATACTTTAAGTACAGTAGGCAAATTATTGGAATACCTTCTCTGCTACTATAAATGATTGCGTGTAAAACTCACCACAGAGTTTGAAAAATGTGTTTAGAAAGGTTAAGAAAAAGAAACTTATTTGTAATTCCCACCAGTGATTGAAGAGTTATTCAGACCCTTTACTTAAGCAGTAATACCAAAATTATTCCATTGCAAGTAAAAGTGCTGCACTGAAAACTACAGAAGTATTATGAGTATTAAATATATGTGAAGTACCTCATAAAAATACACATAGGCTATAGATGTTAAACAGCTAGTTGGTTAAGATGGAGTTTATTTGAACTATTTCATACACTGTTGGGTAATTTAAATTTTATATATATATATATATATATCAGTATGCAATAACTGATCAGATTTTAAATAAGGCTGCATCCTTCAAATATTCTCCAGATTTAAGTTTATTCAATGAAAATGTAATTTGTGATGCAAAAGCGACAATTCCCCATTGCTATCTGTCGAAAATAATCTTAATATGATGTTATTACTATATCTTTGAATAAAAACTAACAAGTAAGATGTCATATAAATGTAGTGGAGTAA